CAATCAAACAATATTAAAATACACATGGTCATGAGGAAACATTTTTAATTAACATTCTTTTTTTTTCTGTTTTTGAGATAGGGGTCTCACTCTGTCACTCAGGCTGGAGTGCAGTGGTGTGATCACAGCTCTCTGCAGCCTCGACCTCCCAAGCTCAAGCACTTCTGCTACCTCTGCCTCCCCAGTAGCAGGGACCACAGGCACGCACCACCATGCCTGGCTAGTTCTTTTACTTTCTATACAGACAAGATTTGTTGTCCAAGCTGGATATTCTTTTTTTTTTTTTTTTTTTTGATAAAGAAAAGGTTATCTAACCTTAGGAAAGGTTGAGAGATATTTGCAAGACATTACGGTAAATTTTAGGACTATGCAAAATCTCTGGAGAAGGTATGGGAAGAAATTACTTGAGGCTTCTTGGGAAGAAATTACTTGAGGCTTCTTGTGAATTTTTGTTATTGTTTGATCATAAATACCATGCAAATATCCTTTGTCAGTGTGTTTTGGCAGTTCTTCCAAGGAGACCAGGGAGTGAAGAGGATTACAGAAAGAAGGAAAATGAGGTTGATTTTACACTAGAAAAATTCAGTGAAGAATTCTACAACCTTTCTGCTACTTTTCTACCTCATTCCTGTATCCAGTACACATTACTGCATAATCTTTGTAAAAAACAAACATACAAACTTTCAGATACAATCAAAACTTCATTCTTCCCAACAATTCTGAGAGTAACCAAAATTGAATCCCATCATTTGTCCTAGTATTATAACTGTTAGGGTGACTGTAGTTTTAAGAGACTGAAACACAACATACCTTCAAGAAGAAAAGGAAGTTTCTTGGCTCACAGAATTTAAGGAAGGTGGTCAACAGAACCGCTGCAAGGTGCACCTCGGCCTCAGGAACGAGAAGAGCTAGAAATTAACTGTCAGAACATGCAATCTTGTCTGCTTTTTCTCTGTATGTCTGCTTTATTCTCTCTCTTCATAAATCTTCTTTTTCTAGATGGAAAATAACAATTCCTTCATTCTACATTTTATAGCTACAGTCACTTGGCAGAAAAAAAATTAAAAACTGCCTTGATGCTTTTTCTGGAACAAAGTCCTAAAATCATAAGGAAGGGATTTATTGAATTTAATTGGATCTATTGGCTACCCGGGACCAATCAACAAGTTGGCCTGGAGAAGAGAGGACTAAGATTGGCTCACTTGAGCAACAGAGATCAATTATGGCTAGGGGAGCAGGATCACGTGGTAACACAGCAGCTCCTTGGGTACCATAAGGCTTGGCAATCGGGAAATGGAGAACCATTCCTAGGACAAGGTGAATGTTGAAGTACTGGGCAGAAAAACTGTATATTACTAGCACCTATTGCACCTCAGGGAAAAACTACATTAGATCCATGCTGATGATACCTAGTTTCTGGGAGGTTCAACTCTAGCCCACTTAAGTGACCCTAGGTATATGAGATATATAAACAACAGCATATCTATACAGCATGAAGAAATATCCAGATGGAGCAAATGGATTTAAATGATTGAGTGCCATCTTCTTCATGAAACCCTTTTTGAATACTTATCTGAGCCCTATCAAACTCTTGCAAGTATTTATGACCACTATTACACAGTTTATCAAATAATTATTCTACAGTCGCCTGAATATTAGGTCTAAGTCCCTAGCTCAGCTGCAGGTATCTTATTTTATGCTTCCTTTTACTAAAAGACCTCTACACCAAGATTAGTGTTAAGGACATAATTTATTCCACGTTCATCCCATAAATGATCCTTGAGAGCCTACTAATTTCTAGGCAATATACTCAATGCCCAGGATACAAAGATGATCAAAGATGGATCCTTAAAGAGAGCGCATGATTTGATGTCTTTTGTCCCCACCACACTTGACATAGAAATCTAGCATGGCCAAATTTGATCTAGCAATTGAATTGCCTCTCCAAGCAACAGTAGTGTATCTAGATGCAGTTTTGTTTGCCTATCCAGAAAAATCAGAATTTTCCTCCCTTTTAAGCCAAAAGGCTATTAATGCAAATCCAATTGAATTTGCATATGATTACATTTCTGATGGAAACATTCATATGCAAATGAAAATTCATGCAAAGATAGCCAGATCATTCAAATAGTTGCTGAAATATCAAGATAAAATTAGGATATTAAATGTACATCCATCTATGTTTACTAGGTTACACTAAGGTCATCAAGTAGGACAATATTCTCAGAAAACTTAAACCATGTCTTAACCCTTAACATAAACCATTGGCAACCCTCAAGTAGATACGAATTCAGAAAGGAACTATTACATTACTTTCTGCTGTCATAGCACTGAAAAAGAAGTCAGTCACTGATAAAAGCAGTGAAGTTACTCAAAAGACATTCATCATGGCTTCACCATTTTGCCCCTTTTATCTTTTCTTCCTATCAAAAGTAAAAGGTATTTTTTTTATAGATCTGATGTTATTTTGATGATCCAAAACAATGAGCAAATAGTTTATGCAAGTTGACAGTTTCTACATACTCCATAGGGCCTCAGTGATGCAAGTTAAATGACATCATCACAGTCACCACCAATAAGTATCCACTGAAAAGCATCCATGACATTGTGTGTACAGCAAGAGGAAAGTGATCTTATCTAAAGCCCATATTCTTTATTAAGTCCAGCTAATAACAGATTTAAGCAAAATTTCAAGGTATAAAATCTTAATCCATTACTGTACATTCCAAATCTATTTTTGAGGGAAATACAGTCTTGGAATAGACCGTTGTTCTTGTTAAACTTATTAGAAGTTACAGAGGAAAAAAAGAAAGGTTTGAGATCACAGCATTCAGGATTACTGGCGCTTGGTTTAGTGGTCCACAAAGTGTAATTCTCCCACTTCCTTTTATTTGGTCCCATGTATTTGTTTATAGTTTCAAGTCTTTTTAGAATTCTAGTGTTCTTTGCTTTGATGAATGTCACCTGCCATCCATCAAATTTGGAAAGTCTAAACCTGAGGGAGGGATCTTAGCATCTCCCAACTTGACAAACCAGATTCTTTCCCAAATGAATCTGAGGAATTTTATATCTTAGGTATTTCTCAAATCCAGCCACTTCCTTCATCTCCATCATCAATTCCTTAACAGTATCTTTTGCCTGGCCTAGGACAGGAACCTCCTAACTGGATTCCCAGGACCTACTTTTCTCTTCCTCCAATCCCTATCATACTATAGCCAAAGATGTCATCTAAAAATGCGAATAATCATAATTTCATCCAACCATCCTCTTTGCTTAATACACTTCAATAGCTTCCTGCTTCTTTTATAGTAAAAACCCAAATCCTTAACAAGCTCTTACCTGCTGCATGGTCTGGCTCCTGCCTTACTCTCCGTCCTTACATCGCGTGGTTCTCCTTTCACCCTCTGCACTCCAGCACTGTCCTTTTTTTTCACATCCTGAGATGTCCCATGCTTGTTTCAGTCACCACATTGCACATGCTGCTCTTCTCCAGCTTCTACAGTTAGGTAACTTCATGCTTCTTCAGTTAAGACCTTCCTGATCTTCTAGCTGCCATCAGACTCCTCTGTTACTTTTTTTATACCACCACATAACTTTCTTTCATAATACTTATCTGAGTTTGTAATGATGTGTTTACTTTGGAGATAGTATCAGTTGTATTATTCTCTCTCGTGACTTCCCAAAGGATGAGCCTAGATCTGTTTTTTGCTCACCAGAGCATGACATGATGTCTATCACACACTAGGCATTCAATAAATACTTGTTGAATTAATGGATGGTTCCACTTTCTATTCTCCTTATCAAAAATCCAAGTTCATAATGATGAAAGCTAAAAAAAAAAAAAAATTGCCTGGCTTGCTTGCGCATCACCCTGCCACAGTTGCCAAGGAAAATTATTATGTCAAATACTGTAATATTGTTTATGGTAGAGAAGACAAGGTGAACAATCTAGTGGCACCAAGGTTAACTGCTTTCAAAAACTATGATAATAGGATTCCACGATTAATTGTACCAGCAAAGCACTTTTTTCACCTACTTAGAATAAAGAATAATATAACAGCTACTCTCCCAACTTTGTGTTATGCATAAAAATATTATTTAGGATATCTAAGTCACAACTTATTTCAGAAACACATCTAGAGGTTTCAAATATACAAAATCTTATGACACAAGTTGCTAAAATTGAGTTACAACTCTTATTCATTTCACAGGAATAGAGTCATAATTACAAAAGTTAAAGTCACATCAAAATCACACACCAGTTTCTTAACTCCCTCTGTTACTTTTTATTTTATTTCTATCAGTTGTGAGCTTAATTTTATTTTCAGCAGCTTTAAAATACTGAACTAAAGATTAAAATTATAGGGAAAGATAAAATGCCACATTCTGGTGATTTTTTTTAACAAAGTTGCATTATTATCTGTCTAGGAATATCTTTCCTTTTTCATCTGTCTCAGATTGTGTAGTCCTGGCTGTCTGTGACATTCAGAGGGTGAAGGGTTAAAAGCTTATATTTAGCAACAGGATGTATCTGTGGTTAGGGACGTTCAGTCTAGTGGACAATGAAAAATTAAATATACCTTTCTTAAAAGAAAAGGAAATTTCAGATAGACTATTAAAATAACCTTAATTTTATATTATCTTTAATGTTTATGGATTTTAGAATACAATTGTTGGCATTTAAAAAAAATTTATGTAAAACATTTTAAATTTCTTTCATTCTTTGTAAGAATGTATACAGACTAATATTCCAGGAAGAAAAATAAAATAAAATGTGCGTATTTAATTGAAGGAAAGTGCCCCCTCCCCCCCCACTTCTTGCATATATTACAAGAATAAACATTCAGTCAATAACTGGTCATCTTCAACACTGCTTACAAATAAACTAGGTTTTGTAGTCTATTGCAAGTCAGTATTTCTCACTGGCTAGGATGGAGATGGACTTGGGCTCCTAGGAAGAAGGCCCGGAAAAGACATTTCTTCTCCTTTTATGATTTCAGTGAAGAATGCAAATTGCACATCAGATTTTGAGGAATACTTTGCCAAAAGAAAACTGGAGGAACGCGATGGTCATGCAGTCAGCATCGAGGAGTACCTTCAGCGCAGTGACACAGCCATTATTTACCCAGAAGCCCCTGAGGAGCTGTCTCGCCTTGGCACGCCAGAGGCCAATGGGCAAGAAGAAAATGGTGAGGCTGTAAATCATTTTTAGCCACTACACTGACCTCTGCAGCTGTTACAATTACAAATGCACTACATGCCTGGGTGTTTACCTTAAAATTTGAAGAACAGCTGCAGAGGCATGGAATTTCATGAGCAAAGATTAGAACTGTAATTTTAGGGTATTGTGAAATTTTTTTGTCAGCAAATTTGTGTCATTTGTACATCCAATAAAGAACAAGAACAATTAGAGCCCATTTCTAAGAGATAAAAATATCTAAATGTATTCCTATCTTTCTGAAATATTTTACTTTTGAGGAAAAAAAAAGTTCAGACCGACCCTCCCTCACCTTTTGTTCTTCTCCACGACCGACACCTGAAACGCCCCTTTATGCTGTGAGTTCCTGAGTAATCTATGGCTACAGGTTTCATAGGAACTGTCAGTCACCTAAAGAGAATTTCCTCATTTATCAGCTGTTTAAGTGCCCCCCCCGCAAAAAAAAGCTGAAGTAATTAATTAATTTTCGAGCGCAGTGTGAGCTGATTCCTACAAGCCTGCCCTGGGTGTGCGAGGGGACTGGTGTGCGAGGGGCCGGGCGCAATGATGGCACTCTGTGGAGCAGATTGCAGTGATTCCTGTCATACCATCCTGGGCAGTCAGCCCATTAGCTGCCATTGATTTACTGACCTTTTGGCCTGCTTCTCTCTCTCTCTGTCTCTCGGCTACAGACCTGCCACCTGGAACTCCAGATGCTTTTGCCCAACTGCTGACCTGCCCCTACTGCGACCGGGGCTACAAGCGCTTGACATCACTGAAGGAGCACATCAAGTACCGCCACGAGAAGAATGAAGAGAACTTTTCCTGCCCTCTCTGTAGCTACACGTTTGCCTACCGCACCCAGCTCGAGCGGCATATGGTGACGCACAAGCCAGGGACAGATCAGGTGGGGGGATGGTTTTAAGTGATTTCTTTCTATAATAACCCCTTAGAGAAACGATATTGCTTTGATTGGCAATCATTATTAATTTTTCATGGCATTTTGAAGATGCAGATCTTTTAATGGTAATAGCTTTAATTGAGGTCTAAATGATTTTTTGATGGTCTCTTCTAATATGATTTAATAGTCTTATGTTCACGATCGAATGAGTGTGTTAATTTCTAATTTAGAAATTTTATTTGCACTTTAACTTGACTTTAGTTTCATTTTTATGTTCCACAAAAAGTGAATGAAATTGTAGCATTTTAATTATACATTATTAAACATCTCAGCAATTTTAATTCCATTTTTCACCTCGTTTTACTTAGAAATTTTCTTTTCATATAGGATCTAAGTCATAGTAAAAGAAGTGCGTATTTCTTTCATTTTTCATATAACACCTTCAATTACTTAGAGTATTTTTATAAGCTGCTACTAGTTTATGAAATCTAATTAAGTGTTTTAAGGAAAATCAAAAAGACATATATTATCTGTGTGTATATATATGTAATAAATGGGATTAGTACTAAAACATTGGATGTACATTAAAAAGATCCCTTCTTAATATACATATGTGTAGCTAGATGTTAGAATTACTCCCCCTCTTTTTGCTTACTTGTCTCAAAAATAAAAACTCTGTCTTCAACAGTTAAGTATAGCTTCTTAAATCTTTAAAACAACTGAATAGGATTGATTCACAGTGTTCCTTAAATGTTACAGCAAAACTCCTCTGTCCCCCTGGGAGGATTGACTCTGCAAATTGATATTATGATATGTTTGCATGGACAGAAGTGGTGTGCCTTAAGTCACAATAACTGGCCCTACAGATCCGGAATCACTTAATTTAAGTCTTGACACCATGTCTGTTTTTAAAATTATTGAACATGATATTGTATTCAAAATTCTTAGTTTTTCCTTATAACCTTCATTTTCTTTGAATAAGGAAAGTGAGAATAAGCAAACACAGTCAATAATGGTGATAATACTAGATTATGGAATTTTACTATTTTAGGAGAACAGCTCATATAAATTATTCCATTTATGTCTGATTGGGCTTGTCACCTGAATACTTTTCAAAGATGAGTTATAAAAAATATTCTTGCATGGTTGCACTTATGTAACAGTTTATCTCCCCTTGCTTATATGCACAAAAACTCTAGGAAAAAAAAAGTGCCTAGATATTTATCTAGCATAACCGCTTTAAATTTCACATGCAGAAGTGTGATTGTGTTGGCGCATTATGAATGGTAGCTTTGGTGTTGAAAAGTCCCCTCATTTGCTCATGGCATTTACAATTAGTAAATTAAAATGATTGTATCATATTAACAGTGGCACAACTAAAGTTTATAGTAGTCCTCTGAGGGCTGTGGGGGGAGACAAAGCAGCTGTTGCTGTTTGTTTATGCAACTCAGCAACATATGAGCGCTGGTCCCTCAATGGCGCTCGGCGGGCTGGGCTCTGCTTGATCTTTGAAGGTTGCTGCTGTTTGAACAAACCTCCCTGTGTCCCATGTAACACCATCTGTCTCACTAGGAATGTGGGAAGATTCAGCACACCCTAGCAGTTGTCATACCGTTTCTGTGCTGTCTTTTTGCAAAAGGCTTTTGTGTCATTGCTGCTAGAAAAAGGCTGACCTCCTACCTTGAGCATCCAGAGTGGATGACTGCATTTTTTTTTCCAGAATTCTAAGTCACACTGCTTTTTTCCCCTTGTTCAAAAAGGTCAGCTGTGTTTGATTATATCTTTGCTGCTTTTAACTTGTCTTTTCAGCAAACTTTTTTTTCCTTTTTTGTCCCTACTCCCTTGCACACTACTAAAAAGGAAAATGAAAAGTCGTTGAAGTCTTTCCTACTGGCCTGTGATAAAACTGCTCAAGCAGCTATAACCCAAGATGTTGTCTCTTACATTTGATAATGAATCAAATCTGATATGCGACACCTCAGGAAAAACTAGGCTTCTATTTGCTACTAGCACAATGAATAGGATATTTAAACATGCTCATCATGTAATGAAATATTTATAGTCAAGGTTTTTTTGTTTGTGTGTTTTTGGTTTGGGATTGGGTTTTTTTTTTCTTTTTTACATTTTAGATTGCTTCAGTATAAGATATACTTTTATGCTGATACAAAAAAATTGATAGCATTTGTTGTGTGGGGGGTGGTTTTTTTGAGACTATTCAGAATTTTCAGGAAAATATTTTTTTCTTGACAGAATTGTGACATTCTAGCAGAGAATGTTCATATATTAGAATTTGTAGTAAACACAAAAAACAACAAATATCTTTACAGTTATACTTCCTCGTCCCCGAAGGTTCAAAGAAACATTTTGGAAAAGACACTACAGAAATAATTCTAAAACGAGTGTTGGATGTGCATGTGAAAGCACTTTTTTTTATTTGTTCCAATTTTATTACCAACATTATCGCTTTTATTGCAACTCTGAAAGACTGAGCAGATAAATAAGCATGCACTCAAACCTTTTGGCCTGTCTGAAAAATAGAGGCCTTTTAAAAATATTCATAACAAATTTTCTTTGTTCCTCCTGCACAAAACTGATGTCAGTCTTTCTCCTTTTATAGCACCAAATGCTAACCCAAGGAGCAGGTAATCGCAAGTTCAAATGCACAGAGTGCGGCAAGGCCTTCAAATATAAACACCATCTGAAAGAACACCTGCGAATTCACAGTGGTGAGTAGCAGAGGTGCTGGAGCTCACATTTGCATTTTACTTAATTAGGGGAGTTTTAAAAGATTGTTTAAAATTTACACAGTCCTATTTGTAGCTTTTTGGAACTATCCATTTATTTCATCAACTCTGTGTGCCTGATTTGTCTTCATGAGACTTAGGGTACCACCAGTAGCACTGTCTTATAAAAAGAAGCAGAATGCTTACACATCTTAAAAATTACAAATGCTTTGATTTATTACAAAATCTAGAGGCTCCTTTTTGTCCTTTTAAAACTGCTTCTCCAGAATAAATATTCTTGACCTGAGGAAAGTCAACTGGCAAATTCTGAAGGATATTAATTTTTGAGACCTCACCATGAAAAACAAGGGTGAAGAATTTTGGATAAGAGCTATGTATGATAAATATTCCCTGATTCCTGAGGGGCATGGATCACAGAACAGAATCCTACCACTGAGATTTCCTCTTTATAACCAGTTTGATAGCTCTGCCAAGCATTTTATTATCAAATTGGATGCTATTCAAAGGACTGGTTGGATTGGTAGAATCAATGGAATCTCCACAAAGTTGATTAAGGCCATGGCTACACTTCCCTTTAAATACCGTGACATCTTTATTGTGCTATTGACCACACATTAATCTGACACTCTGTTTAAATACGAGGCTGCCGATGGCAAGACAAGATTTGGGATCTCAGCCGAAAAAGTCATAGATAGCCCTTACCTTCCACTGTGAACCTCTTGGATTATGTTCTCCCAGGGTAGATAAAGCCCAGAAACAGTTATGGTTACATAATTCTAATCTAAGTACCTAGAATGTAGAGGTACCCCATTGTGTTCCTTTCATTTGTTTTCACAGATTCTTGTCTTGGTAGACAACTGCAATTGTTACCTAATCAAGGAAATGTAACGTTAATTTTAATTATCATTTTAGGTGAAAAACCTTACGAGTGCCCAAACTGCAAGAAACGCTTCTCCCATTCTGGTTCCTACAGTTCGCACATCAGCAGCAAGAAATGTATTGGTTTAATCTCTGTAAATGGCCGAATGAGAAACAATATCAAGACGGGTTCTTCCCCTAATTCTGTTTCTTCTTCTCCTACTAATTCAGCCATTACCCAGTTAAGAAACAAGTTGGAGAATGGAAAACCACTTAGTATGTCTGAACAGACAGGCTTACTTAAAATTAAAACAGAACCACTAGACTTCAATGACTATAAAGTTCTTATGGCTACACACGGGTTTAGTGGCACTAGTCCCTTTATGAATGGTGGGCTTGGAGCCACCAGCCCTTTAGGAGTTCATCCATCTGCTCAGAGTCCAATGCAGCACTTAGGTGTAGGGATGGAAGCCCCTTTACTTGGATTTCCCACCATGAATAGTAATTTAAGTGAGGTACAAAAGGTTCTACAGATTGTGGACAATACTGTTTCCAGGCAAAAAATGGACTGCAAGGCTGAAGAAATTTCAAAGTTGAAAGGTTATCACATGAAGGATCCATGCTCTCAACCTGAGGAACAAGGAGTTACTTCTCCTAATATTCCGCCGGTCGGTCTTCCGGTAGTGAGTCATAATGGTGCCACTAAAAGTATTATTGACTATACGTTAGAAAAAGTCAATGAAGCCAAAGCTTGCCTCCAGAGCTTGACGACTGACTCAAGGAGACAGATCAGTAATATAAAGAAAGAGAAGCTACGTACTTTAATAGATTTGGTCACCGATGACAAAATGATTGAGAACCACAACATATCCACTCCATTTTCATGCCAGTTCTGTAAAGAAAGTTTTCCTGGCCCCATCCCTTTGCATCAGCATGAACGTTACCTTTGTAAGATGAATGAAGAGATCAAGGCGGTCCTGCAGCCTCATGAAAACATAGTCCCCAACAAAGCCGGAGTTTTTGTTGATAATAAAGCCCTCCTCTTGTCATCTGTACTTTCTGAGAAAGGAATGACAAGCCCCATCAACCCATACAAGGACCACATGTCTGTACTCAAAGCATACTATGCTATGAACATGGAGCCCAACTCCGATGAACTGCTGAAAATTTCCATTGCTGTGGGCCTTCCTCAGGAATTTGTGAAGGAATGGTTTGAGCAACGGAAAGTGTACCAGTACTCAAATTCCAGGTCCCCATCCCTGGAAAGAAGCTCCAAGCCGTTAGCTCCCAACAGTAACCCTCCCACAAAAGACTCTTTATTACCCAGGTCTCCCGTAAAACCTATGGACTCCATAACATCACCATCTATAGCAGAACTCCACAACAGTGTTACGAATTGTGATCCTCCTCTCAGGCTAACCAAACCTTCCCATTTTACCAATATTAAACCAGTTGAAAAATTGGACCACTCCAGGAGTAATACTCCTTCTCCCTTAAATCTTTCCTCCACATCTTCTAAAAACTCCCACAGTAGTTCATACACTCCAAACAGCTTCTCTTCTGAGGAGCTCCAGGCTGAGCCTTTAGACTTGTCATTACCAAAACAAATGAAAGAACCCAAAAGTATTATAGCCACAAAGAACAAAACAAAAGCTAGTAGCATCAGTTTAGACCATAATAGTGTTTCTTCCTCATCTGAAAACTCAGATGAGCCTCTGAACTTGACTTTTATCAAGAAGGAATTTTCAAATTCAAATAATCTGGACAACAAAAGCACTAACCCAGTGTTCGGCATGAACCCATTTAGTGCCAAACCTTTATACACAGCTCTTCCACCTCAAAGCGCATTTCCCCCTGCTACTTTCATGCCACCAGTCCAGACCAGTATTCCTGGGCTACGACCATACCCAGGACTGGATCAGATGAGCTTCCTACCACATATGGCCTACACCTACCCAACTGGAGCAGCTACTTTTGCTGATATGCAGCAAAGGAGAAAGTACCAGCGGAAACAAGGATTTCAGGTAAAGAGACAAATGCTTTTTCTGCTCTGAAGAAAAGAGATGGTAATTATACTGATTATGGGCATGTAGGAAAAAAAATCTTAGTGAAAAAAACTCAGCAGAAACGGAAGAGTTTGCTTTAACATGAACCTAAAACCGTCAGTGAGCTAGAAAAATGGATGAAACAGTGAATCACTGTACTCTAAGCACATTTGCTTTAAAAACAAAAGGGATAAAGAAGAAATTAATATTTATTTTGAGATTGATTTAGATGGACTCATCTGCTTTTAGAATTACACATTGGTGACAGTATTTGGTAGGACTTACCTAGGTGCTAGAAGTTAAAGTTTATAACTGTCACGTGCTTTTAAAGATGTGCACAGGACAGGTGTGATGACTCATGCCTGTAATCCCAGCACTTTCAGAGGCCAATGAGGGTGGATCACTTGAGGTCAGGAGTTTGAGACCAACCTCGCCCACATGGTAAAACACCATCTGTCCTAAAAATATAAAAATCAACTGGGTGTAGTGGTGGATGCCTGTAATCCTAGCTACTTGGGAGGCTGAAGCAGAAGAATGACTGGAACCCAGGAGGCTAAGGTTGCATTGAGCAGAGATCGTGCCACAGCACTCCAGCCTGAGAGACAGAGCAAGACTGTATCTCAAATAAATAAATAAATAAATAAATGTAAAGATGTGCACAACTTGCAATAATACATATACACATTTTAATAGATACTTTTGTTTTACACAGAATGGTTTATTTTGAAGAGTATTTTTTAAAATGTCTTCCATATTTCACATGACCTCTTACCAAATCTTCAAAGTAGTTAATAATTATGCTTTATCAAATAGGAAAGCAGGCATATTTTAACATTATGCAGCATATAATCTTTGTTTGCAAAATAGGAGCATAAGTAGCCATCCACCTCTGTAACAGCTGTTCCAGTATTCTAATTTACAGTACATCTGCCCTCTTTGTAAATGTATTTAAGCCTATTTAATCTTCTCTAATATTAATTAGTGCAAACATAGTCTAAGAAAACTGAACTGTGGGCTAGCAAATGGAAATGTATGTTATCATGCACGTTTGCACTCCTTTGGATCAAGACAAAATAAATATCAAGAAATTTAATAATTTACTGATCCACATTCATTATTGTTCAATGCTGAAGGCTGTTTTAACATAGAACATTGATAAAAAGTGTTATTAATATTCCCTATTTCAAATTAGAAAATTAAATATAAAAATATAGCTTGAGGCCTTTAGTTGGTAGACATACATTTAAATAGATTGCATAATAATAACATTTTGTACCTAAATATAAAATTCAATTAAAATCGGGTTTCTACAGCTACAGATCATTTCTAGAGTTAAGCACACTGGAAAATACACAAATTTAAATGTTAAATTTTCATTTACGGGTATTTCTAGGTATAAAGCAAATGAAGGATTTTAGAAAAATTTGTTTCTCTCACCTTCAGAGTTGACCATTTTCTGTCCTTGAAAAACAAAGAGCTCTACCTTCCAGAGCAGAGAAGTTTATATTTTTGTTGCAGTGTGAGACCTCATATATTGTTCATGGAAAAGGAAATTGTTTAGCTAGATCGATTAGTAGCAGGCACTTTTGAGGTTCTCCGAATGTCAGCCTATACAAAGTTGTTTGGTGTGAGCGCAAAGAGAAGTCACTGTATTGAACTGTGTGATTCTATCGCAGGGAGAATTGCTTGATGGAGCACAAGACTACATGTCAGGCCTAGATGACATGACAGACTCCGACTCCTGTCTGTCTCGCAAGAAGATCAAGAAGACAGAGAGTGGCATGTATGCATGTGACTTATGTGACAAGACATTCCAGAAAAGCAGTTCCCTTCTGCGACATAAATACGAACACACAGGTATGAGTGACTTTGCCTAGCTGATTAGAGCTTCCCGGCCTGCTGTACATTTCATAATATTTAATGAGCACACTTGTGCAACATAAGATGTAACATATGCTGATACCTTCAACAAGGAAGAAATAATGCTTTTGCCGAGCTCGGGAGGACTTTTTTGTTGCCTGTTTATTGGATCATTCATGTATTTATGAGTGTGCTTGTCTTAATATCTTTCCAGTTATTCTGTAAACCAAATTTGGAAATCATGTCAAAGGGACAGTCAGATGGCCAAGGCAATGAAATGGCTCGACACAGTCAGTTATTGAAAATATCTTCAAATTCTTAAGTTTCAAAGCTTAAGATGAACCTAGATATGTAAAAATCTAATAAGAAATTCAGACAGTAATACATTAGTTTCATCATCCAAAACACCAAGAAGGCCATAATTTAGGGGTAATTTTGTTTGGTTTTCTTTTTAATTAGCCACATTTTGAAAGAACTAAAAGCATTAGTGTCATAAAAGAAAAGTAATAGATCAGATGAGCTACTTGAAACCACCTATGTTTGGAAGACTGAAATCAAACTTTCTAAATTTTAATTAGTATATGTCCAAGTCATGTATTACTAATTAGCAGCAATTACAAAGAGTTGACAAGAAAACAACCTAATTCTTCACTATGAGTAGAGAGATAGTGGGTTAATTTTTGAAAAGAAAGATGAAGTACCATAATGTCATTTAATGTTACTTCCCACAACCCAAGATCTGCAGCTCTGTGGTCGAGCTCCACTTGTGTTTCCTCCCCAGCTCCATCCCCACCTCCCTGAACAACAGGGTAGCTGAACCTCATCCCTGCGTCTAGCCCATCTCCAACTCTTCTCCACTAGAAATTTGGCATGCTCTATTAGCCCTGGATTGGGGGAAAAAAAGTGTAGGATCTCAATCAAAATATTGGCAAGAGGAAACGAAAAAAATAGGGGAGTATAGGAAAACAACTCATTCTAAACCAGGAAGCCTAGTGTCAAACATTTCAATATAGAGGAAAAAAATTAACCGAACACTTTGGGGCGAAAAGCTTTTTTGGGGAAAAGTGATGAAGAGGCACAGAAGAAAAAGAAAGAAGACAGAAAAGGGAATGTGAGCCAGGTGCAGCAGCTCACGCCTGTAATCCCAGCACTTTGAGGGACCAAGGCAGGAAGACTGCTTGAGCCCAAGAGTTTGAGACCAGCCTGCGCAACATAGCGACACCTTGAGTCTACAAACTATTTTTTAAAAATTAGCTGGACATGATGGCTCAAGCCTATAGTCCCAGTTACTTGGGAGGCTGAGGTAGGAGGATGGCTTGAGCCCAAGAGGTGGAGGCTGCAGTGAGCCGTGATTGTGCCACTGCACTCCAGCCTGAGCAACAGAGTGAGACTCTATCTCAAAAAAAAAAAAAAAAGGCGAAGGGAAAGTGAATACTTCCTGTCATATTTTGATTGCCTAGACACATGGCACTCTTTCCTGTCACTGAAAACTGTCTTTGGGAAGTACTTGTACTCATCATTGGCCATTATTCCTCACTGGGCACGTGCTGGAGGCAGCGCAAGTGACCAGCATCAGCCTGAGAGTGTGGGGAGGGTTTTGTGAAAAGAACAAGGTTGATAAATAAGAGGGCTCTTACTCCAACCAATGCAGTTTTCTTTTTCTTTAGCTGTCTGATATTCATTGTTATTATTTTAAAAGTTTAATGATACCTTAAAGACAACCCAATCTAAATCCAAACAGTTTTTATACTTGTGTTATATAATTCAATGTTTGAAATACCAAAATTTTCTTTTAGCATAGATATTTTCTTTAGTACTAAGTGCTACTTAAGCATTTACAAAGTAAAGATATTTTCATACCTAAATTTTACTTTAATTTTAATATTTTAATCAACCTCACATATATTTTGTATTCCATTATTCAGCTACAATAGGCACATCATTGAAGGCATCTTTCTCTCTCTGATTGGTTTTATTATATGACCATATGCAAACTCTATGATTTACTACATGGTGAGTGTACAACTTTTATTTTAGTGAGGGCTATCATACACATTGACATCCAGTCAATATATTTACTTCTGATAAATTAGAGAATTTTAACTTTCATAGGTCTGTAGATAGTTGAGAAGCCCAAAAGTTGACAAACACAAATATGCATAATTTATTTGAAAAATAAACTTCAGGCCTGATGTGGTGACTCATGCCAGTAATCCCAGCACTTTTGGAGGCAGAGGCAGGTGGATCACCTGAGAGCAGGAGTTCGAGACCAGCCTGACCAACATGGAGAAACTAAAATACGAAAAATACAAAATTAGCTGGGTGTGGTGGCACATGCCTGTAATCCCAGCTACTCGGGAGGCTGAGGCAGGAGAATCGCTTGAACCCAGAAGGTGGAGTTTGCAGTGAGCCAAGATAACGCCACTATACTCCAACTTGGCCAACAGTGTGAGACTCTGTCTCAAAAAATAAATAAATAAATAAATAAATAAATAAATAACTTTATTTTTTAAAGTAAAAATAAAATATTCTGCTCCTTCAAGATGTGAGAGCTGCTCCCTGGACACATTGCCTAGCAACAAGATGCTAATCATTCAATGGTTTCTCTAAACTTGTGATTAATTATCTTCCTGTTGGCTTTCCAACTTGTGAAGTTTCCAGCGTGTTAACTTTTTGGTCACTTGACCAAACATCTCATGACATTACTACTGTCAGTGTATTAGGTTCTATTCAAATCAAGTTCTTCATGAATTTTCTATCGATGTGATATATGTGGAAATTTAGTCCATGTTCCTATCCCAGTTGAACATGTGGGATAGTTCCTATCCCACTAGCCTTTCATTTGTTTACACTAAGCACTAGTAATATTTTGAGAATGCAGTAAGATGAAAATTTTAAGTGATAATTGTCTTGGGACTGATTGATTCTAAGGTTGGGAAATAAAATTGAATCATCATTTCATTATGCATTGATTATGAATGTGTCCTTGGTAAAGTGTGTTTGTGATATCTGTCTACAATTTTACATATAAAATCGTTTAACTTAAGAAGGAAATCATGAGCTACTTATTCTTGGGACCCAGTGCTTTTTTTTTGCCTCAATTTATTTCCTAGGCAGATACCAAAGTCATCATGCTTCATTTTTCTTACCAATGGCTTGTTGCTTGCTTGCTTTTCCTGGGACCTGGGACCGGGACAGAAGAGGGAAACACTATATAGATGTTAACTTCAACAGAATTAATTGTCACAAACAAGGACTGTGAAATTAAAAACTCTGAAACTCCTGTTAGGCACTGTCAAGAACTCGTTTGTATTCTACTAAAATTTAAATCTGACCTTTATTGAGTGCTTTCTCTGTTGAGACGTCATGGTAGGTGCTTTTTAAACCCACCTTATTTAGAAAAGTAATACAAATGTTTCTACTTTTGAGTAGATAAGTCTAAGTTTTAAATAAATTTACCAGTCAATTTTGTTTCTCAGTTATATGGTAATTTTTTTCATACCACAAACCTTTCATTTATTATTAAGGTCAGTTATCATTCTAGCTGTCAGGTGAATCACAAATCTAGATAGTAGAGAAAATATTTACCCTAAAAAAGTTTGATTCACTCAGTATCAATTTGGATGTTCTGAATCTTGGTCATGTGGAAACTTAATTCTAGGACATCTTGATTTGAATCAGGTAAACCAACAAAACAAGTTAAAAAGAGATGAATGTCCAAGTCAGTTACTATTTAAATTGAATTTATTAAATACTTACCACTGAAACTTCTGGAGATCAGTAGACTATTTAGTATAAGGTATATGTCAAAACTCTCACCTGCTCCCAGATTCTATCCTTTGTTTGATATCATAACCGAACATTTTATTTTTTCAGATTGTCAATTCATATTGCAGGATTAATATATGCCTATTATAAGCATACTGTTTCTTATCAAATGAGTTCTCTGAAAATTGAATGCCTATAATCAAGGCATATCTCTAAGACAGACTGCAGTTTAGTGGGCATGCCCGAAGCATTGCTAACAGGCCTGGAAACCTGTAACAGAGAATGCTTGCTCTCTCTCTGGACACTGCTCTGTGTTTTGTTGCTTTGGAAAAGAAAGCCATATCAACTGTAATGTTCATTCAAAATTATTCATACAGTCTCTCCCAGAAGTCAGCTAAGTAGTTGACCTTTTTGTGTTCCTGAGCTGATGAGACGTTAGTATCCAAAAGAGGTTGTAGGACAGTTTGCCCATGCACGCTGTAGCAACTAGAGCATCAAGAAAATTTTCATCTACAATTTCTCTTCTCTCTATTCAGATTTACTACTTCCATGTACTCTGCTCCTGCTGCATGCGTCCTGCTTAGAACTTGAGAAATTATTGAACATGTATTAATGAATAAGAATAAAATGATCTAACATTACCTGAGTGCCTACTATGTGCAATCCTTGTGCTAAACGCTTTATATAAGTTGTCTTCCTTATTCTTTATGCCCAGTCTGGGA